TTAGTCCAATCCATAGCCAAGTAATAGTGATTAGCTTTGATTTGTGTATCGTATCGGTTGTCGTTGTCGTTGTCATTATCAACATCAGAGTCTTGAGCGTCAGGTTCGAGGAGTTCCGATGTCTCCTCTCTATTCCAGTCCTGATATATGCGGAGTTTAAATGGCGGCGGAGTCGGGAACTCATTCAGGTTTAATGGCACCGACAGATCCACTGAATGGCGAGCGTATGAATAAATTATTGTCCATAAGTTCCGGTACGTGAGCTTAGATTTGGGCACTGTTATGATGAATGGCATCCCTGTTATCTCCGGCTTATAAATACAATCCTTTTTATGGGTCGGCCAGTGCTCGGTCTGACACGTTCTGTGCATTGCAAACACATATGAATTAGTTATGACAGTAAGTGGACAGCAAATAGCGACTTACTTATCACAATAGGCCACTCGATAGCATTTCTGGCATGACTTGAGCTCAATGTTGTCCCAACTGCTGTTTTTATCACATTTGGCGCAGTTATCACTCTTTTTAGGTTTCGCTAAACGCTATTGAAAGCCACAAATTAGTCAAAATGCATAACACATCAGTGAGTGACACATACCTGAACCACAAAGTACTCCTCGACGTCGTCGTCCTCTTTGGGTCCCATGAGCTCGAAAACGAGCAAATATTTCCCGGTTTCTGGCTTATGGAGTGACCAACTGGGCTGATGGAACTTCTCAATGGCACCGCTAGCATAGCACTGTAGGCATCGCAACTAAACCACACAATCATTGCATTAGAATTTCATCTCAATATTCACGCCATTATTCACTAACCAATGAAGAGTTAACTCCAGTCACGGCTGAGACCTCGTCCAACAGGTTCTTCACGAAACACTCTTTGGGGAGTTTGAGGTAATATTTGGTGGGTTTCGATGTCGACATACCATTGGAGTCCCGCTTGAAGAAGTAGACCTCATAATCCACTTTCGGTTTGGGTAACGGAAGTGATAAATACACAAATGGATCGAAAGTCACCGAAACCTGACAAATAAAGGTACGAAATATAATTAATAAACACTATGACAAACAGCAAAGGAATGCCTACTTTTTGACAGGTGGGACACACGAGTTTGGACTTGTATTGACCGTAGAATTGTTCGGTAACTATGGAGTGATTCATGAGACCAAACGTACGCCAGGACTCGTCCGCCAATACCTGGTCGTCAATGGGTTCGTCCGACTCATCGCTATTATCATCTTTAATGGCGGGCCGTTCGCGGCGTTTGTTGAGGTCTTCGTGGGATAAATGAAAACAAACGTTAAGTATCTCGAGAACAGATAAGTAAAGCAATGTCTTTGGGCTAACCCTCGTGGAGCACATCCAGCAAATACGCGCAGAACTCTTGAGCGTCTTGTTGTATATAACTGGAAAACGTGGGGCACTTCTCGCCCATTCGCTCCTTTAGCTTATGAGGCGCTATGGAGGTGTCAGTGCCGGCCCACAGTTGCTTCAGTACATCGGCAAACGTCTTGCAGATAACACCTCCCGAACCAAAAGCATTAGTCGTATTGATATCGTGTGCATATTGTCCCGCTATATGAGTAGGCAATGCAACATATAGTGTTAGTAAACGTCAACACAAACGGCATTCAAACACAACTCACAGGTAAAGTAGTCTCGAAATGGATCGGTATTTGAAAGGCACTGAACAACAGAATTCATGAAACAAGTATTGCCTAAGTTTTGCAAACCAGTGAAACCTATGAGTTTGGGTTTAACAGTACGTGAAGGTGATGGCGATAATTGGGACCCAATATTATCCAAGTCGTTGGGCACCAGAACTATCTCTCTGTCCTTGGATGAGGTGCTGTCATCCACTTTCTTGAAGCCCCCGTCACTCGATTTAAGCCAATCATTAATCCTTTGATCGCTGGCCTCTTGTTGACTGTCATATGATTTGTGGGCCACTGGCAGTTGTGGGCCATTAGTATAACCCAATTGTATGGCATCCTTGACCACTGGTCTCTCCAATGTGTTCCACATTAACGTCGAGTTCTTCTTCTTGAGGAATATTTCGATATTAGATTTCGTGAGTTTGTGCCAACACTCAGACACTATTATTGGACCGCTTTATACGTGAAATACATATTTAATTCATTAGTTGTATGACTCGATAAGCAAATAACACAAATAAAAACAATAATTACAACAACTCTTTTCGCCACAAATATGTCACGTCTTTGTCCTCTTGAGTCTCAGTCTTATAACGCACTTCAATGGAGTCCTCTTTGAAATCAATATCAATATCATTGACTTGTCTAACGTATACATATACTCTTAGGTGGTCTGGAAACTAAAAATACAAATTTCATTAGATTATCAACGCATTTAAGAGCACAGGTAGGGAACGGTATATACTGTACGGTATAACCACTCATTTTCCAGTAAATTTTTAGCCAATGGTACGGCCCTTACCTCAGAATAGTTAGTCCTAATGTCCTTATTGTCAGACACATCAACAGTGGTGTCATTACTGGTAATCATATCCCCGTCTTGGTCTACGGTCTCATCCCATGTCTTGGGACCAAATGGCTGTCCGTTGGACTCATTCATCCAGAGGCTCACGTCATCGTGTGATGGCAACAACTGGTCGTTCACCACATTCTCGTCGATCACCAGATCTCCATCAGTGGTGATGTCGTCGTTATCATTGATATCGCCGTTAGTCATGACCACCGATGACCTGTTGTTGTCGTAAATGTGATTATCATTGCTTTCGTCGCAATCGGAAGCCATGGGTTCGTCCGTCGCATCCAAATGAATGCCATTCGTGTCGCCGAAGACTGTGGCGATCGAGGGGTTGGCGTTAGGGCTCACCAAATGGTTGGTGTGGTTAGTGATCGGGTGTTGGCTATGGTTGCAGTGGTTCTTGAGGGCGATGGCCGAGTCGATGGTGTCATAGCCGGTGGACGTGGTCTTGAGCGCCGAGCCATTAGTGGTGCCATTCGTGCCGTTCATCTGCTGATGGCTGCCATCCATCGACACCTCATTCGCCGATTCGTTGCTCATGAGGGCTGTTGTGGTGATAATGGATGTGATAATTGGATTCAATTCATAAAGAAAATGTCAATGAAATGACAAAATAAAGCGACGACTGAGTGGTGGATGCGATTCAGTGATCAACTCATGAGTGACACGAATGGTGTGAATATATTGCACACAAATCGTGACTCAACTGTACTTTTGAGATCAAATCGGTGTTTAAAAGGCCTTTCGATGCAATGGTTTTGTCTGTCATTTAAAACCAATTATTATTGTGTTTTGCAATTCATTTCACACCAAAACTCTCAGATTTCGTCGTTTTATCGTATGTGACAAATGGGGAGAGACTGCGCCCCACCTCACGCCGAACATATTAGGCATATGTCAACACCAATGGTTAGCTTATGCGGGGTGCGACTGGTCTCGGGTTTTAAATAGTACTATTATAGGAATATATTAGAATGAGCCCTGGTTATAACCCCTTAATTTAGAAAATACAATAGGGTCAAATAAAGTGTATCAGGTTCATTGGGCATACGAGGGCGTATTGAGCATGTAAGCGCCCAACTGTCTAACCTCGCAATGAAAAGCAAATGTCAATGAATAACGCCTTTTAATATCTTTCATTGCATTTGATTGCANCCATCACACGATGACGTGAGCCTCTGGATGAATGAGTCCAACGGACAGCCATTTGGTCCCAAGACATGGGATGAGACCGTAGACCAAGACGGGGATATGATTACCAGTAATGACACCACTGTTGATGTGTCTGACAATAAGGACATTAGGACTAACTATTCTGAGGTAAGGGCCGTACCATTGGCTAAAAATTTACTGGAAAATGAGTGGTTATACCGTACAGTATATACCGTTCCCTACCTGTGCTCTTAAATGCGTTGATAATCTAATGAAATTTGTATTTTTAGTTTCCAGACCACCTAAGAGTATATGTATACGTTAGACAAGTCAATGATATTGATATTGATTTCAAAGAGGACTCCATTGAAGTGCGTTATAAGACTGAGACTCAAGAGGACAAAGACGTGACATATTTGTGGCGAAAAGAGTTGTTGTAATTATTGTTTTTATTTGTGTTATTTGCTTATCGAGTCATACAACTAATGAATTAAATATGTATTTCACGTATAAAGCGGTCCAATAATAGTGTCTGAGTGTTGGCACAAACTCACGAAATCTAATATCGAAATATTCCTCAAGAAGAAGAACTCGACGTTAATGTGGAACACATTGGAGAGACCAGTGGTCAAGGATGCCATACAATTGGGTTATACTAATGGCCCACAACTGCCAGTGGCCCACAAATCATATGACAGTCAACAAGAGGCCAGCGATCAAAGGATTAATGATTGGCTTAAAT